ATTATTATTAAATCATAACGAAAACGTGGATAAGAGCTACGAATATAAATTAACAAAGAAAAAATAAAAAAAGTTATTACCAAAGAAAAATCAAAAAACAAAACAGACCTAAACACACTAAAAAAAATTAAACTACCGTATTCGCTTAAAAACAATAAAACAAAAGCAACACTACCATATTCAACATTGTACCCCCTTACTAATTCTCTTTCTCCCTCAGCAAAATCAAAAGGAGCACGATTTAACTCCGCAATTACTATTACTAAAAAAGGTAGATAAATAATTACTAAACTAAAACAAAGATTATTAACAAAAACAAACAACCTATAATGCATTATAATAGCTAACACATACAAAGAAAAAGCAATTTCATAAGAAATACTTTGACTACTAGCCCGTAAAGCCCCCACAATACCGTACTTTGACTTTCTAACCACCCCGCTAATTAAAATAGTATAAACAGAAAACCCAATTAAACACAAAAAAAACAACAACCTATAATTAAATCTTACAAAATTATAAAAATATGGTAACACATACCATTCTATATATATAACCACAAAAGAAATACCGGGAACTAACAAAAACGACAAATCGGATGAACCTACTGGCAATATTTGTTCCTTTTTTAAAAGTTTAACACCATCCAATAAAGCTTGCAACACCCCCATAAAAGACACCTTAGTAGGACCCAAACGATTTTGTCTACTACCAAGTAAATGACGCTCATATAATGTAATAAAAGCAATACTTTGTAAAATAAAAATTATTATTAACAACAACAATAAAAATATTACAAAAATCAAGGTTAATCTTCTTTAAATTTACAATTTAACATTTTTTATAAACTAACACCCTTAATTAACAACTAAAAATTAACAAACCAACACCAAAAATTTTATTAAAAATAAAATTTTATTAAAACAAACCTTTTAAAATAAAATTTTATTAAGAGTAAACCTTTTGATTAACAGTCAACAATTCTAAATAAACTAACCCTTAAATTATCAAAAGTTTCAAAACCACGGGTATACCCTCAATTTGTTTTCAAAACAAATTCAATGATTTAATATTAGATTCAGGTTCCCCTAAATCTACTTTACTACAACTTACTCCCCTGTGGGCAATTGATGGATGATTTGTACCACTTCTAAATAATCTTCAAAAAACCATTAAAATTTTTTTACTGTTTTTTACATTTTCAACAAAAAACCACTTTTTATATCCACAAATTTAATTAATGTAGGCCAAATATTACTTACCTATAAACCAAATATATATCTATTTTATTAAAATAAAAATTTTTTATTTTATACCTTAAGAATAAAATAAACGATCATACATAAGTCTAAAAGATTAGTAGTTAATGGGGGTTCTCACTTATTACTCAACCTCCAAAAATAATTTAGAAAATCTGCCAATATTCTTTCAGTTTAAATATCAACTTTACTTCTGCACTTTTAAAATTATGCCTAATTAGGTACTAATCTAATTCGTTTATCAAAA